TCAGAACTCTATTTAAATACTAACCAAAGAAAACATCTTAAACCAAAGCAATCACTAAAGTAATCCACATTGTTATTCTAATTGACTACCACTATTTATTTAAATTAGAATATGCAAACAACTCAAAAGTACCCATAAGAATACTTAAACACAAACATACATACAAAATTGACAATAAATTCATTCTACCATTAAATACTACATTTACCAAATGTTTTTTCTAATACTACTCACACATAAGAAATGGATAGAAAACTACGAGGATGAACCTAGAGGGTATTATGCTAGCAAAATTAGTCAGAGAAAGACAAACCTCATATAACTTCACTCATATGAGGACTTTAAGATACAAAGCAGATGAACATAAGGGGAGGGAAGCAATATTAATATAAAACATATGTAATATGTTTATGTAACATATATAATCTATAACATAGATTACGTGTATATGTTACATGTAAAACATATATGTTATATATAATATATGTTATATAATATAAAACATAAAAACATAAGAGACTCTTAAATATGGAGAACGAACAGAGGGTTACTGGAGGGGTTGTCGGAGGGAGGAGATGGGCTAAATGAGTAAGGGGCATTAAGGAATCTACTCCTGAAATCATTGTTACATTATATGCTAACTAACTTGAATGTAAATTAAAAAAACAAATTTCAAAAAATGAATGCCTAAATTGCTTTTTCTTTCTGATTATATTTTAGTTAAGCATGAAAGGGTTTTACATAGGAATCAGAAAATGATTATAGTAAATATTTTTAAAGTACCATCATGCAAAATGCTGAGTTACCACTTCTAAATAACAACTAAAAAAATGTACTATTTACCTTTTTTTTAAAGTAATCTCTACACCCAATGTGGGGCTCAAATACACAACCCAGAGATCAAGAGTTGCATACTCTACTGACTGAGCCAGCCAGGTGCCCCAAGAATGTACTATTCACCTTCTAAATAAAAAAATATTTAACAGTACTGTTTGCAGGTAAACTAGAGCAGAGGAAAAATTACTAAATCAACTAGCAAATGTAGGTAATTTCCATTTCTTAAATCAAGTAACAGCTAAAAAATAAGTTAACCATCTTCAAGGCCCAGTGAGTATTATCTAAAAGAAGTCAGACCAAAGACCAAATCTGGAGGGAAAAGTGTCATATTAATAAGGAAACGTGTTGACAGCCCCATTGCTGCTAGTTAAACAAAGGTGTTATTATTTTCCTTACTTAACAGCATTTCCATCTTCCCATTAATGCTTTAACCTGCCTGCCCTCCTTCCTAATTTCCTGCCTTAAACCACTACAAATCAGATCACCAACCTTCTTTGCCTTACAGGTGAGACAGTGCCTCAGGGGATTACCTACTGAGTCAATTAAAGATCTTTTACACAAGCTATTCTCTTGCCCAGAAATCACAGTTTAATTTTATACTCATCGGTACCAGAAATCTAACCAGGGAGAAATTAAAAATAAACATGGTTTTCTTTTATTTATTTTGTTGTTGTTGTTGTTTTGTTTTTTTGTTTTTTTGTTTAATTTCTAGGAGAGAGAGAGAGAGACAGCGTGCGCAGGGGAGGGTCAGAGAGAGAGGGAGATACAGACTCTGAAATAGGCTCCAGGCTCTGAACTGGCAGTCAGCACAGAGCCCGACGCAGGGCTCGAACCCACAAACCGCGAGATCATGACCTAAGTGAAAGTCGAACGCTTAACCGACTAAGCCACCCAGGCGCCCCAAACATGGTTTTCTTTTAAAGCCAAATGATTTCTTGCCCTAAGTATAAACAAGCAGCGGACATGCAGAAAATACTCATTCTGGGCTCAATCTCCATGGAATTGAGGCTAGTCTGAAGTGATAGAATACATTATTTACAAGACTCGAAATAAGAAGAACTACTGCTAAAAAACATCATATTTTCAGCCATCTCAGGTAGGAATACAAGGGGAAAAAATGATTTTAGAAAACTAAAGTATGTTTACAGTTTGGTACTTACTTTTTAGCAAGATCGTATTCTTTTACTTCATAGTACAGCTTTGCAAAATAGAATCCTTTCATTGACTTCTAAAAAAAATTAAAGAGTTCTTTTACTTTTCATATTTTGAATTTTGTAAAGTTTTCACAGAACTAAAAATCTGTCCTAATAAGGTTAATATTAATATATTTGATTTCTGCTCACCTAAAAGAAAAAAAAAACTGCCTGTAGAAATGCACGTATGTTATAAAAGTCATGACTCCATGTTTTATAATTCTCATCACAAAACAAAAAATAAATTTAAAAACAGCGAAACAAGACAATGTCAGAAATTAAGAACTTACATCAGCAAGAAACCTGAAAAACCATGTGGTGCCACTCTCTCACTTTATAGGTAACTAAACCGAGAGAAACCTGCTTTCTTAAGGAAGGTAAGGTATACTAGAAAGCTCTCCTCTCTTGTCATATGCAAGCCTTTATGGGGAAAAATAAGCAGGTACTTCCATGCCAGTAAGGCACCAGGGACAGAGGGTCCAGGTACTGTTCTCTCTACAGATCACTATTTTACACCCAAGGAATTAAAAAGGCAAAAATAAAAGTTGAATTCTTCCAGTAATAAGCCAAGTCCACTTGCCAGCTCTTTTATTCCCATAAGTTCCCAAGTTTAAAATGCTGGGACACACCAGATAATGTTATACACACAGGACAAAAGAGTACACAGCCATCAAACACTTAATCTTTGAAAACTATAAAAGGACACAGGAAAAAAATCAATATATTAAGTGAAGAAAGAAGTCTACTACAAAGCGGTATGTTTTCACTTATTCATTTTATTCTAAAAAATGCAGATTTAGGATTTGTTCATTGTGCCTACTATTATTCAGCAGGCATTGTTCCAGGCACTAAAGAACCAGAAGTACACAAAAACATCTCTTATCACGAAAGCTGCATTTTAGGAGAGGTGACAAGCAAACTGTTATCTAGATAGGAGCAAAAAAAGAGTGTTATTTGTACTATTTCATCTATTATTTATAGTATGTCATATTTTTAAGCAAAGCTAAAATCAGTATTCATCTCAGAATCACAGAATCCTAACACTGTGCCTGTTCAGTAGGCAGTGTTTCTTCTTTCCTAGTTGGTAATGGTGCTGGGACACAAACAGTGGCATTACAGACCCTATAAAATAACACAGAGACAGAATTGTCAGAAAAGGTCTCATCAAGGAGATATCTGATCAGATACCTGTAGTGCAGTGGTCATCTAGGGCAGACTAGGCAGCACCTGGATTATAATAATTTAATCCCCACTGTTTACTATGTTTCAATTTTTCCTTCTTAATGAAACCCACAGAAAATACTCTTAAATCACATTTATCTTCTTAAAATACTCTCCTCATGACTTCAAAGATACCATGCTCTCCAGTTTGACTTCTACCTTAGTGACCACTCCTCAGGCTCTTCCTCACATGGACTTCCCCTAGTCCTAAAGGCTCTTCTCTTTCAGGAGATCTCATCTGCGACATATATTGAATCTCACCTATGACCACTGAGGATATGCTGACTATCAAATATAGATCTATGGCTCTCATTTTTCCTGAGCTCTAAACTTATGTGCAAAATATAAAATATCATCACCGAAACCTATCAGTTCTATCTTCTTTGTTACTTCAATCCACTAATTTTTCTTATTATTATTTTGTTGTTGTTAAAATGTTTGTTTATTTTTGAGACAGACAGAGACAAAGCTTGAGGTGGGAAGGGGCAGAGAGAGAGGGAGACACAGAATCCAAAGCAGGCTCCAGGCTCTGAGCTGCCAGCACAGAGCCCAACACGGGGCCCGAACCCACAAACCATGAGATCATGACCTGAGCCGAAGTTGGACACTTAACCGAGACACCCAGGCACCCCTATTATTATTTTTTTTTAATTTGAGAGAGAAAGAGAACAAGTGAGGCAGAAGGGCAGAGGGGGAGAGGAGGAGGAGGAAAAGGAGGATAAGGAGGATGGGGAGGGGAGAGCGCGAGAATCCCAAGCAGGTTCCACGCTCAGCACGGAGCCCAACATGGGGCTCAATCCCACAACCCTGGGAACATGACCTGAGCCGAAACCAAGAGTCAGATGGTCAACCATTTAAGCCACTCAGGCGCCCCTCAATCTACTCATTTTTCTACATCTCTGTTGCTATTACCTAAGTCCAAGCCTGCTATGATCTCTCTCTAGGACTTTTGTAAAAGCTAATTTGTTCCTGTTTCCCTATATATATTTTCCCTCTCATCTAACATCAAAGGGGTATAATTTCAAACACAAGACAATTCATGTTATGCCTTTGCTTAAAATTTAATATCCTACCATGGCTTCCATTATACTTTGAAAATGCCCAAATTTCTCACCAAAGACTAGCATGATATGGCCCCTACCCAGCTCTTTACTTCAACTTTACTTCGTCTGCCCTTTGCACACTATAGTTTAATTTTAGCCATTGACTAAAACCAGAATGCATCTCTCCAATTGGGCAGCCATGAGGAATCTGTTTTAAACAATCTGGCCAAAAGCAGGTATTGGTGTGATATAGTTTTTCATTTACATACATTCATTGAATTTATGACATTGAAAACACTGGATGGAAACCATATCCCTTAAAGCAGACTAATGCCACATCATCTAAATAAACACACACATGAATGAAAGAACAAGATTCTCACTATCCTAGTAAAACCACAATTAAGGGCAAAAATTTTCAGAGAATCCCCTGACCCTCCAAAAAAACAAAAACAAAAAACCACTCTATTGAGCATAACTCTAGTCTGGCACAGTGAAACAACGAGAAGTGTAGAATAAGTAGGAGGTCTCCTGTGCCCCTGACCTCCCTCTTACTTCCCCTCTACACCTTGGGGAGCCAGGGCTGTGTCCAGTACATCTGTCAAAAGCATAACACAAGTATCTGAAGTCAAGATGAATAAAGAAAAAACTCCAGTGAAGCCAAAAGGGGTAAAATCTATATTTTCAGTAATAATACAGACCCAGAAGCTTTGCGCAGTGGCAGTATCGTAGCCAATGAGGTTTATCCGAGGCGCGATTATTGCTAATAATACAGACCCAGAAAGTGGGTCCCAATCCTTAACTTTTTAAGTTTTAAGCAGATGTTGGAAAAGTTACTATACTGGCTTTGGGCAGCCAAATCTTCAAACACCTCACATTTTGGTCCTTGATATCACTTCTTCCTATCTTTATGAAGCAGAAATCACCTATCACTGGATTGTTTACTCAACATTAGAACTAAGTTTATTTAGATCTTCACCCAACAGGACTTGGGTTCAGACCTTCACGAGACAAACTGGTTTCACTCTTATAATAATGGGTTGTCTCCATAATAATCTGCTCAGTACAAAGAGAAGCCACAGTTCAGACATCAACTGCCTGCATGAGCAACTAAGACAAATGAGGTTCTGACTAAACACAGAATCCCATCTAGGCAGGACAACACAGCAGCACAGCAGTGTTTCAGATAGTTCTGGACAGCACTCTCCCACTGTCTTCTCTGAAGTACACCTTCTTCATTATTTCTCATAAATAAAATCCTGTTTATTTCCTTTACTGAATTCATACATAAGTATGTTTGTTATTATGGGTGTCTATCCCTCAAAACTGTAAGGCTGCACTAGGGTAAGGCCCCTGTGGCTTGTCCACCACCATGGAACCAAGAATATTAACTGGCAGGTGTCACACATTCACTATTTACTGAAATATACATAAATTTGTGTACCCCTGGTTATTTCCTAATAAATTCCTAAAAACTAAATAACTAGGTCAAAGAACATAAATATTTGAACCGTTTGCTATATTGCCAATTTTCCCCTAAAGTTTCTATCAATTTACTTCCCTACTCAGTATTTGAATTTAGACATTTAGTCAAGTACATATTCTTCAAAATTAATTTTTCCCATTTCTTCAATCATCGCTAATTTAGTAAGCAGAAGAGGTATGACTAAGTCAACCTGGTATTTCTCTGATTAATAAGACCAGTTTCTAATATTTGCACTGAAATTTTTATAAGTTCTCTGCTTATATACTTTAGCTATTCTCAACTTTTAAAGGACAAAGAAAAGATTATCTCACCAATTTTTAAGGGTTCTTAAAACCCTTAATGGATCTTAACCCATACTGACATTTGAGGGCTTTTTATAAAGTTTTACCAAATTGTTACCTTTAATTTAGTGTTTAATGTGTTTGTGAAATAAAGCTTCAATTTTTATACAGTAAAAACTACCTTTGCTGTTCATTTTCTTCAAATTATATGGTAAAAAGATCTTTCTCATATGAGATAAATACTCATCTATATTTTCCTTCAGTTTCTCTAAAATTACTTTTAAGTCTAAAACTTAATTTGGTCAATAATATAGGCTAAAGCCCTATTTTAAAAAATAAGTTATTAAACTAAAAAAGATCATTAAACAAGTGTCAATTGTTCAAGTAACATCTATGAAATAATCCTTATAATCCATATTTTCTCCATTGCTTTGCAATGTTACTTAGCAAAGCCACATAAATCTTCTGTTATGATACCTTAACTTAATAAAACCCCTTTCCCAGGACACCTGGGTGGCTCAGTCGATTGAGCATCCAACTTCACCTTAGGTTCATGAGTTCGAGCCCAACAATGGACTCGCTGCTATCAGCACAGAGCCCACTTCAGAGCCTGTCTCCTACTCTCTCTGCCCCTTCCCCGCTTGAGCTCTTCAAATTAATTAATTAATTAATTAATTATCGCTCACAAGTTGGGGAGGGGCAAAGAGAGACAGACAGGCAGAATCCGAAAAAGGCTCGAGGCTCTGAGCTGTCAGCAGAGAGCCTGACGCATAGCTCAAACTCACAAACTTCAAGATCATGACCTGACCCAAAGTTGGACACTTAACCACCCAGGTGCAGCCCCCAAGCAGTTTTTTTCAAATCATAAAAGTATATACATGCAAATTTTCTGTTTGGATATCACAGTATTTCCTCTCTTAAGGAACCAATACTGTTAAATAATTTTCTTTTTTCCTTCTTAATGTTTATTTCTGTGAGAGAGAAAGAGAGGGAGAGGGAGAAAGAGAGAGAAAAAGAATTTGAGCGGCGAAGGGACAGGGAGAAAAGGGGACAGAGAATCCAAAATAAGGCTCCGCACTGTCAGCACAAAGACTGATGTGAGGCTTGAACCCACCAACCATGAGATCATGACCTTAGCTGAAGTTGGACACAACCGACTGAGCCACTCAGGTGCTCCTAAATAATTTTCAAAGGGCCTAACAAAGTGAGGGAAGAAACAAGGCAATGAGAGGACATGGATGTGAACTGTTATTAGGACAAACAAGAACATGGATGTGTTTTTCATGCTAAGGAAAAACAGCCAGTTGAGAATCTGAAAGAAAAAGGAGAAATCAGGACTCAGAAAACTGAAAAGGAGGAGAACAAAAAAGGTGTCATGGAGAAACCGTGAAAAGGAAATATATGATGAACAGAATAATGAATAGGGCCTGGTGGTTCACTGCCAATAGTCTCAGTTTACCAATGAAGAGGCAAGGTAGTTTGCTGAGTAAAACTTGTGAAGAATTCGAGGTGGACAGTGAAGTTCTACAACAGTGACTGAAAGGAATAAGAGAAAGTGGTGATCAAGGACAGGTAAATGGCCCAGAAATAAACACTCACATATATACATAATGTCACATATATACCTTGTTAGAACAAGGGTGCCAAAAACATTCAATGGAGAAAAGACAGTCTTCAACAAACAGTGCTGGGAAAACTGGGCATCCACATGCAAAAGAGTAAAGCTGGACCACTATTTTATGCCATGTGCAAAAATTAACTCAAAATAAATTAAAAACCTAAAACTAAGATCCAAAACTGTAAAATTTCTGGAAGAAAATACAGGAGAAAAGCTGTATGGTATGACATTTGATTGGGCAATGGACTTCTTGGAAATGATACCAAAGGATGGGAAACAAAAGTAAAAACAGACAAAAAGGACTATATCAAACTTAAAAACTTTTGTGCATCAAAGGACACAATTAACAAGATAAAAAGTCAACCTATTGAATGGGAGAAAATATTTGCAAATCATATAGTTGAAAAACGATTAATATGTAGCATATATTTTTTAAAAAACTCCTTACAACTCAATAACACAAAATCAAATAACCCAACTAGAAAATGGGCAAAATACTTTATACCAGACATTTCTCTAAAAATGATATATGAATGGGCTATCATCAGGGAAATGGAAATCAAAGTCACCATGGGATAGTACTTCATAATCATTAGGATGACTACTATCCAAAGAGGAAAAAAATGAACAGTTGATAATAACATGGAAAAGTTGGAATCCACGTGCATTGGTAGTAGAAATGTAAAATAGTGCAACCATTATGGAAGCAGTGTGGTGGTTCCTCATAAAGCTAAAATAAAAACTACCATATAATCGGGGTGCCTGGGTGGCTCAATTGGTTAAGCGTCCGACTTTGGCTCAGGTCATGATCTCACAGTTCATGGGTTCGAGCCCCGCATCAGGCTCTGTGCTAACAGCTAGCTCAGAGCCTGGAGCCTGTTTCAGATTCTGCATCTCCCTCTCTCTCTGACCCTCCCCTGCTCATGTGGTCTCTCTCTCTCAGAAATAAGTAAAAACATTAAAAAAAACAAAAACAAAAAAAACTACCATATAATCCAGAAATCCAACTTCTGGGTATATAACCAAAAGAACTGAAAGCAAGGTGTTGAAGAAAATATCTGCAGGGGTGGCTGGGTAGTTCAGTTAGTTAAGTATCCTACTTTGGCTCAGGTCATGATCTCACAGTTTGTGAGCTCAGGCCCCACATCAGGTGAGCTAGAGTCCTGCTCCAGGCTCCGTACTCTCTCTTTCTCTCTCTGCACCCATGGGATTATCTATCTCTCCTCTGCCCCTTGCTCACTCATGCTCTCTGAATAAGAAAAAAAAAACTGCATATTCATATTCATAACAGCCAAGGGTTGTAAGCAGCCTTTGTCCTTCAAGGGATGAATGAATAAATAAAATGTAGTATGTACAATACAAACAACAGAATGTTATTTAGCCTTAAAAAAGAAGGAAATTCTATCACAAGGTACATCATTTACGAAACTTGATATTACACTAAGTGAAATAAACTAGTCAGAAAAATAAATACTGTATAACTCACTTATATAAAGTATCCAAAGTAATAAATTCATAGAAACAAATTCAAAAGGGGGTCTTCAAACACTAGAAGGGAAAAATGGTGAGTTGTACAATGGGTGCACAGTTTTGCAAGATGGAAATATTCTGCAGCTCTGAGGACTGTGGAATGCTGGAGACCTAGGTGAAGTTGGAAATCTGAAATTTATAGTGGCACCAATGTAGAAATGCAAAGATAAAACAAATTACTTAAAAGAGCTTCAGAAGTAGTATTTTAGTTTTTATAACCCAAAGCTATAAGAAGAGATTAACCAGACAAAAGAATAACTATTTAAATCAATTACATCATTTTATATAGTCATATAACAACAGAAAAAAAAAAAAGAAAAAAGGAAAATGCTTTAAAATTGACTCTAAACATCCAATTCCCAGTCTGGTATAGAAGAACTTAGAAGTAGCCACACTTCTCAAACAACAAGAAAGAAGCTGAACTAAATAAATTAAATAATTAAAAAATACAGCTCTTTTTAGATCTATAAAAGAAGTTAGATCACTAACCGTCCCACAAAATTGGAGACAAATACAGAGAATCAAACCTCACCATAGCAGAAACCCCCACAGTAACCATTATCAACCAATATTAAGGTAGGAAAACCTAAACTGTAATAGACAATTGTTGGAAACTCAGTGTGGGCAAATCTGACAGATAAACTCCATCACATTACTTAAGTTCTACCAACTATATCATATCCAGTTCTAAGAGAAAAAAATGACAAGACATATTAAAAGCAAAAAGAAAAAAAAAACAGCTTAAAGATAGAGCAAGCATCAGAACCAGATTCAGATATGCAAGAGATACTAGAATTATGTCAGATTGAAAATTAAAGTAACTATAATTAATACACTAAAGACTCCAATTGATAAAGTAAAACAGATGAGCAATGTAAGCAGAAAGATAAAAATTGTAAAGCACTAAAAAGAAATTCTAGAGATAAAAAACAAGCCCTTGATGGCTGAGGTAAGAATCTCCAAGCTTGAGGATGTCTCAAAACAAAAAATCTACAAAACTGAAATGCAAAGAGAAAAAAAGAGAAGAAAAAATAAAACAATACCTAAGAATTACAGAACAACAAAAGGAAGAACATCCATGAAATAGGACTATCAATAAAAGAAAAGAGATGAAGGAACAGGAGAAATATCTGAATAATTGCTACAAACTTCCCCCAATGTAAAGTTACACAAAATCCCACAAATCTAAGAAGCTCAGATCCAGGATGCTCAAGGAACATCAAGCAAAATAAATGCCAATAATATTAATACATCTACACATATCATATTCAAACTACTGAAAATAAAAGACAAATGACACATAAGCTGGAGAGAGAAAAAAGAGACTTCACCTACAACAGGAGCAAAGGTAAGAATCACATTTAACTTCTCAAAAATTATACAAGAGTGGAATGAAATATTTAAAGTTGAGAATAAAAAACAACAAACCTAGAATGTAGTACTCCATGTAATTATCCTTCATAAGAAGTATTTTCTCACACAAGCAAAACTGAAGGAATATTACCAGTAGACAGAGTAAATCTTAAAAGTTCTCATCACAAGAAAAAAATTTTCTGCTGTGACAGATGCTAACTACACTAACTATGGTATCTACTTCACAATATATATTAATATCGATTATGTTGTATGCCTGAAACTAATACATTTTATGTCAACAAAACCTCATTAAATACATACTGGTAAAAGGACATGGTTGGAAAAAGATATACCAATGTAACACTAATCAAAAGAAAGCAAGCAAGAGTAGCTACACTGATTTCAAACAGAACACTTCAGAGCAAACAAAGTGATCTGGGTTCAAGAGGAGCGTTTTGATAAAGTATTCAATTCTCCTAGAAGACACAGTTCTTTACATGGTATGCACTTACACACAGTACAACATGTAAGGCAAACACACACACACACACACACACACATAATATGGGGTGTGTGTGTGTGTGTGTGTGTGTGTGTGTATTTGGAAACTTCAATTTCCCTCTATCAGCATTAGACCCAGCAAGCAGAAAATCAGTAAGGACATAACTGAACAATATCACCTATCAACTGGACATAACTGACATCTATAGACTACTTCATCTAACAAAAAAATATATTCTTCCCAAGCTCACATCAAACATTCACCGAAATACACATTATGGGCCATGAAACACACCTGAACAAATATAAAAGAACAGAAATCCTACAATGTAGGATTTCAAAGCACAATTGAATAAAAGAAAGATAGCTAAATAATTCCATATTTAGAAACTAGGCAAAAAAGTACAAAATTATCCATGGCTGAAAGAAGATATCTCAAGACAAATTTTTAAGTAGTCTAAACCACATAAAAAAGAAACATACTTATCAAAACTTGTGGGATACAGCAAAAGCACTGCTTAGAGATTTTTTTTTTTTCACACTGTACAGCCCCCTTCAGTGCTCACAGACCACCAGAGAGGAGACTGGGCAATGGTTCAGGGCTGCACACTCCTCTGGCACGGGTACAATATGAGAGGCCCACAAAGAAGGGCCCACCATCAATCCATGACCATGCACTAGAGAGAAATTTACAGCAATGAATACCCATATTAGACAAGATGTAAAATCAATATCTAAACCTCCATCATAGGAGACTATAAGAAGGGCAAATTAAATCCAAAATAGGCAGAAAGAAGGTAAAAATTAAAGCAGAGTAATATGAAACACAACAATAAATAAAACCAACAAAACCAAGGGCTAATTCTTTGAGAATACCAATAAAATCAATAAACATATAGTTGGAGTAATTTAAGAAAAAAGACAGGATGGAAATCAGTAGCATCAGAAATAAAGGGATCACTACAGATCCCATGATTAAAAAGAGAATAAAGGGTACCTGGGTGGCTCAGTCACTTAAGTGTCTGACCTCAGCTCAGGTCATTATCTTGTGCTTCATGGGTTCAAGCCCTGCATCAGGGTCTGCGCTGACAGGATCTGCCTGCTTAGGATTCTCCCTCTCTCCCTCTGCCCCTCCCCCACTTGCACAGGTATGCCCGCTCACACTCACTCTCTCTCTCTCAAAATACTTTAAAAGCAAAACATATTTTTAAAGATAATGACAGTTAGTAATTAATAATTCAATGCTCACAAATTTGAAAACCTACATGAAATGCACCAATTCCTTAATATATAATCTGTCAAAACTCACACAAGAAATAAATATATATTTATTAAAGAAACTGAATAAATAATAACCTTCTAAAACAGAAAGCACAAGATTCACTGGTGAATTCTACCAAACGTTTAGTAAGAAAGAAATTCTGGGGTGCCTCAGTGGCTCAGTCAGTTGAACACTCAACTTCGGCTCAGGTCATGATCTCAGTTTGTGAGTTCAAGCCCCTCATCGGGCTCTGTACTGACAGCTCAGAGCCTAGGGCCTGCTTTAGATTCTGTGTCTTCCTCTCTCTCTGCCCCTCCCCACTCGTTTTCTCTCTCAAAAATAAATAATACGTTAAAAAAAATTTTTTTAATTCTATCAATTTTTTAATATTCTATCAATTTCTCTATAATCTTTCAGAGGATAAAACAAAGAAAATAACTCTTAACTTATCCTGTGAGACCAGTATTACCCTAATACCATTACAACAAAACTATAGACCAGCATCAGTCATACACATAGCTACAAAAATCCTCAAAAAAATTTAGCAAATTAAATCCAACAATGTATAAAAAGATTAATACACCATGACCGAGTGTGATTTATCTCAGGTATGCAAGGCTGGTGCAGCTTTTAAAAATCAATTAATGTATAATGTAATCCATCACATCAACAAACTAAAGGAAAAAAATCTCTTAATCAGGTCAATACATATAGAAAAACAGTTGACAAAATTCATCACCTGTTCATAATTAAAAAAAAAAAACTCTCAAAACCAGAAACAGAGGTAAACTTCAACTTGATAAAGAACATCTATAAAAACTAGTATCAGGGGTGGCTCAGTCGGTTGAACGTCCAATGTCGGCTCAGGTCATGACTTCATGGATGGGGGTTTGAGACCCGTATCGGGCTCTGTGCTGACGGCTAGCTCAGAGCCTGGAGCCTGCTTCAGATTCTGTGTCTCCCTTTCTCTCTCTGACACTCCCCTTCTCACGCTGTCTCTCTCTCAGAAATAAATAAAAACATTTAAATTTTTTTTTAAAAAAACAAAAAACTAACATCAAACTTTATTTTTGTTTACTTTAAAATTTATGTCAGGCACCTGGGTGACTCAGTTAAGTGACCAAGTTCACCTCAGGTCATGATCTCATGGTTCAGGAGTTCGAGCCCCACATGAAACACAGATCATCAAACCCAGAGCTGGCTTCAGATCCTCTGTCCCCGTCTCTGTCTCTCTCCCCCAGTCATGCTCACGCTCACTCTAGCTCGCTCTCTCTCTCTCTCCAACCCTTCTTCTTCTCTTTATCTCTGTCTCTCTCAAAAAGAAATAACCAAAAAAAATTAATTTTCATTAGTTAGCATACAGTGCAATATTGGTTTCAGGAGTAGAATTCAGTGATTCACCACTTACATACAACACCCAATGTATCTCAAGTGCCCTCCTTAATAACCATCACCCATCTACCCCATCTCTCACCCACCTCCCTCTATCAACCCTTAGTTTGTTCTCTCTCATTCAGAGCCTCTGTGGTTTGTTTCCCTCTCTTCTCTTTTATTCATTTATTTTGTTTCTTTAGTTCTACATGAGTAAAATCATATACTATCTTTCTCTGATTTATTTTGATTAGCATAATATATTTTGGCTCCATCCACATCATTTTAAAGGCAAGATTTCCTTCTTTTTGATGGCTAAGTAATATTCCTGTGTGTGTGTGTGTGTGTGTGTGTGTGTGTGTGTGTACTGATCTTTTAATTTTTTTTTTAATCTTTATTTTTGAGAGAAAGAGTAACAAAGTGCAAGCAGGGGAGGAACAGAGAGAGAGGAAGACAGAATCTGAAGCAGGATCTAGGCTCCGAGCTGTCAGCACAGAGCCCAACATGGGGCTCAAACTGAAAAACTCCAAGATCATGACCTGAGCCTAAGTTGGATGCTTAACTGACTGAGCCACCCAGGCACCATATGCTAATCTTCTTTATCCTTTCATCAGTCAATGGACATTTGGGCTCTCTCCAAATATGACTATTGTTGACAATGCTGCTATAAACACTGGGGTGCATGGATCCCTTCAAATCTGTATTTTTATATCCTTTCAGCTAATACCTCATAGTGCAACTGCTGGATCATGGGGTAGTTCTATTTTTAGTTTTCTGAGGAACCTCCATACTGTTCTACTGAAAGGCTGCACCAGTTTGCAAAAAAACATCATACTTAATGGTAAGGAACTCAACGTTTTCTCACTAAGATCAGAACAAGGCAAGGATGCCCCTGCTCACCACTCCTTTACATCATCATACTGGTAGTCCTAGCTAATACAATAAGACAAGAAAAGGAAATAAAAGATACATAAGTTGGGAAGGAAGAAATAAAACTACTGTATCTTTGCAGATGACACGATTGCCTATGTAGAAAATCCAAAAGAACTGATAAAAAAAAATCCTGGAACTAATAAGCAAGTTTGAAGTTTTATATTCCAAGAGTAATATAAATAAGTCAATTGCTTTCCCATATACTAGCAATGATAGAGCAGAATTTGAAATATGAAACACAATACCATTTACATTAGCACCCCCCGAAATTAAATTCAGTTGATCCTTGAACAATGCAGGAGTTAGAAGCCAACCTTCTGTTCAGTTGAAAATCCATATATAACTTTTGATTCCCCCCAAATTTTATTAATACCCCACTACTGACTAAACGCCTTACCAATAACATAAAGAGGGAATTACTACATATTTTGTATATGCCATCATGTTGTATTCTTACAATAAAAAAACAAAGAAAAAACATTAAGAAAATCACAGAAGAAAATACATTTACAATACTACATTTATTTTAAAAACTCACATATAAATGGACACTTGCAGTTCAAACCATGCTGTTCTTTGTTCAACTGTAGTTATAAATCTAACAGAATAGTAAGATCTACTAAGAGTAACTACAAAACTCTGGTGAATGAAATCAAAGAACTAAATAAATGGAGACGCCCCATGTTCACAGGAAGATTTGATCTTGACAAGATGTCAGTTCTTCCCAACTTAATCTATTAGATTCAAAGCAATCCTACTATTGAGGTGCCTGGGTGGCTCAGTTGGTTAAGCGTCGGACTTCAGCTCAGGTCATGATCTCACGGTTTGTGGGTTCGAGCCCCATGTTGAGCTCTGTGCTGACGGCCAGCTCAGAGCCTGGAGCCTGTTTCAGATTCTGCGTCTCCCTCTCTCTCTCACCCTCCCCTGCTCACACTCACTCACTTGCGCACTCTCTCTCTCTCTCAGAAATAAATAAAACATTTTTTTTAAAAAAAGCAATCCCAATCAGAATACCAGCAAGTTATTTTGTGGATATCAACAAAGTGATCCTAAAATTCATATACAGAGACAGAAAACCCAGAGTAGCCAACACAACATTGAAGAAAAAAGTTGAAAAATCAGACACTACCTGACTTCACTACTTACTAAAAAGCTAGAGTAATCAAGACAATGTGGTATTAGGTGGTCCCTTCTAAAGTACTAACAAGATAGCAGAAGGGGAGCAAAAGACCACCACTTTCCATGGCATGGACCTCAAGCAGCCGCTGGACATATCCTACAAGCAGTTGATGCAGCTGTACAGCACCTAGCAGCAATGGAGGCTGAATGGGGGTTTGTGGGGAAAGCAGCACTCACTGCTGAAGCACCTGTGGAAAAGCAAGAGGAGGCTTCCCGACAGAGAAGCCCAAAGTGGTTAAGACACACCTGCAGGACACAATCATCCTGCCTGAGATGGTGGGCAGCATGGTGGATGTTTCCAATGGCAAGACCTTCAACCAGGTGAAAATCAAACCCAAGATGACTGGTCACTACCTAGGCCAGTTCTCCATTACCTATAAGCCTGTGAAGCATGGCACGCCCAGCAGTGGCCCACCCACTCCTCCCACTTCATCCCTCTCATGTAGCCTGTTCCACCAATAAAGACACAGACTTCTCTTAAAAAAAAAAAAAAAAAAGACAATATGGTATAAATAAACAGTAAAATGAGACAGAATAGACAGACAAAAAATAGACCTACATAAGTAGAGTCAACTGATTTCAAAGGAGCAAATGCAATATAATGGAGGAAATAAAGGGTTTTGGAACAACTGACATCCACACATAAAAAACAAAAACAGCAAAAAGACACAGACCTTATACCCTTCACAAAATTTAACTCAAACTGGATCACAAACCTAAATGGAAACATAAAACTATAAAACTTCTAGAAGACAAAATGAGAAAATCTAATTGACCTCAGATTTGGTGATGACTTTTTAAGATACAACCCCAAAGGCACAATCCATGAAAAAATGGATTTTTTTTCTTCATCAAAATTAAAAATTATGTACTTCATCAAAATTAAAAATTATGTTCTGAAAAAAGAAGTTTTGTTCTGCAGAAGACACCAT